GGGGGGGGGGGGGGGGGGGGGCTCGGGGGGTGGGGGGGGGGCCCTGCTGCTGAAGCTCCTGGCCTCTGCACTCTGACGCCGTTTACTGCGCCCACCAACGCCACCAGGGGGCAGAGGCCGGCATTCTCCAAAGTGCTCCTTTTTCAGGAAGTGGGGGGGTAGGGTTGGGGTGGGGAGGTCGATGCTCAAAGGCTTGCAAAAAAAAAAGAGAGAGACTAAACAAGAAAAATGACTTTGGAATCCCTGCTGGAATGCATGCCTAGCGCCACATACTGACAGCCTTCGTCATAGCACGAGTTCTCCCGTTCTCAACAGGAATGAGGACCCTCCCGAGAAGCTCTCCTGCAATTCGGTAGGATCTGGAAACCTGGATGTGTTGTATGCAGACACACGCGTGCATAAAAAAAACACAAGATTTAGAGATTATAACGAAAATAGCGTTTTCCTTTAATGCATCGATACCAATTGGGCGGCGGAATGAGGAGGTGAAGACTGACCGCTTTGATGCTCTATTTGGACGGATCTGCGGAGGCTGTGGACCGCGGGGCGGGGATTTTACAAGCGGAGGTGACAGTGTGCTTCTTTGAGACTTAAAAAAGAAATAAATAAACGAGAAAAACTAACTCTGACGCATTTTGAATGGATTTCACAATCCGGCTTGTACCTCTGACAAGGCTCACTTTGTGCAGAATTACTCTTTTAATAATAATAATTTACCTTCCGTAAGTCTAGAGACTTTTATACGACCGTTGTCATTATTACGATTAATATAATTTCATGGTAACATCGGAGTTCTGCTGCTGTCTCGATCTATGCATGTGCTCTATGACTCAGGTGCAGAAGCCTGCCCATCCTCGCGTCCGGCGCCCATTCTCAACGACGAGCAGTGATGCCTTATACCAATACTACCCACCCTCTCTCGCCACATATTTTTGTTGTCTTTTAGTTGTTATGACGAAGTGTGAAAATACGAGGCGTTATTGGAAGCGGGTGTCTGTCGACCTGAAGCAAAACCGCTGTACAAAATAACCGAATGAGTCTTAGCACACGAGTCACGAAGACTGACTGAAGGAATGCTTTTGCCTCCTGCTATGCATATGTCAAAAGAGGAAAAATAAAACAATAATATATATGCATATATATGTATAGATATATTATATGCATATATATGTATGTACATGTATGTACAATGTTTAAATGATGGCTGTACATGTTGCTTGCATATGGCCTTGGGTCTTGCTTTGTAACTGAAACTTTTGTACATCTTTGTTATTTTGTATAAACCAACTGAAAAAACTTGTTTTCTTAAGGAAAGGAATAAAACAAAACTGGTTGTTTGTAATTCTGGTCATAGCTCTTAAGCCTGGGAACTTGTGTTGTGATGGTAATGAGTCTGGCTTTTCTACCAGCATACAGTACACACCACATACACATTTCTAACCGTCACACAGACCTTTTTATGCTTATTTACAAAACGGCACCGGCGCTTTAAGACCCCCGTGACGTGGCCGGCTCGGAAGAGCCCTCCGTTTGTGATACTGGCTGCGGGATTGTGTGCCCCAAGATGTATTTTTGTACCAAGAGACAATTATGGTGCGATGGTACCGTTTTCTTTTAGATACAATAACACAGCTTCGTTATTAACGTTTCTTCACTTGTGGCTGACATTTTTTTAAATTATTTTATTTTTTATGTTCTTTGCAACACATTTCTAAGTATACTACTGGATTAATAAAACCATTTGAAAGTAAACTGTCATTTTGTCCTTTTCTTTTAATTTTAATAAAAGACCCAAGCAACTCTTCCTCGTGAGGGTCACTCTCTCCCCTGGTGCACCGGTTCATGCTCCTTCCAGGAACATCCAGGCATCCCAGACCAACTCAGAGACATAACCACACAAAATGTGATTTTTTTTTTTAATGTATTTGAATATTGGGTGATGTGACGCCATAACAATCTTGCACCACGTATAAATCTTGGGTTTCAGCAGCGTGCCAGACTCTGGTGCATTGCGTCAGGAAAATGTCAGCGTTATGAGGCTGATGTGCCGCTCCATTCACGTGTGGAACATTTCAGTCTGTTGCGACATTTTAAAAATGCAATTTCAGCTTTCCGACAGGAGATGGCGCTTTTGTAACAGTCCCAACCAAGATGAGCTAGCCTCGTGTCTTGGGTAAGCGTGTGATGCTTTTCAGAGGCTGCCAATGTCGTGCTCTCCGTTTCCTCAAAATTCGGCAGTGCAAACTTTGAAAGTCGGGAGTAGCTCTTGCTGCAAAATATCATGTTTGAATAACAAAGCAATGCAAGCACTTGCAGATGTTTTGCGTGCGTTTCAACTTGAAATTTAAAAGGAATTTGATTTTGTTACAAGCTCTTTGATAATGCCATTTCCGCAAAGGAGCGTTCTCTGGTTTCCCTTGATTGAACAACCTCCTTAAAGAATATTGCATTATCTTCTTTGTATTAATGCTGCTTCAAAGGGTTGATTGCATGATTTGCACTACTCAGTGAAAAATTAATGGTTAGAAATATAAATCATGAAAGTCAAACTGAAACATTAGGCCTTTGTGTTTTTGTTGAATTTGTATTTAAAGGGCCTTGCAGTGAAATGAGTGCTTGTTAGATGGAGGTGCTGGGTGGCATCACACAATTGTTTGTTGTTTTCATAGTATTTGAATTGTTCCCCATTTCAGACTATACAAATGCAAACCATCGGTTCCCTTACGGAGTCATAGCCCAAAACGGCTGACAGAGATAAAATGTGTAACTGTCCTATTAATAGCCAGGTCATGATGTGCGAGATGAGGATTCATAGGTACAAAGGTAGATTTCTTCCAGTCATGTGGGTGGTTTCCAAACATTCTAACTAAAACACTGGATTCTTCTGCCAAACTTCACCGTTGCTAAGACCATCAAACAAATTCTTGCAAAAGAAAAGTGGAAGTAATGAGTGTGATCAAGATCCTAATGAACGCGGTGCTGCTCGGACTGGGGCCACCGCGGAATCCTGACAAACAAGGTCGGCTTTCTTTTCTACATCCCGTCCAGCGCTGGGGAACATGGTGCTGACGTCACAGGTGCCGATGCCATTCACTAGTCTTTCTATAGCAATTCCCCAAGGTGACACCCATCTACTAATCTGTAGCAGGTTGGATGGAAGTCAGCTTGAATTTGCAGGTAAACACGTGTTAGAATTTCTGTACCAGAATGCTATTTGCATCCATTTTAGCATCATATTCCATGTCTGATCTCACACATTGTAAGCATGTCTCCATAGTAATGCGAACTGAGGAACCTTCATTCTGTTCCAGACCTTGGAGAACATAAATCTGAACTGGAACTGGTTTAAACTCGTCTCATTGAAGGGATGGTACACATCATTTATGTCTTGAAATGCTCTGTGCTCGAGGCTGGTGAATAACGAGCCCTATTTGCTCGTCTGTGGTGGTTGCCTCAGTGACGGTAAAATTAGTTGTGGGAGAGTAAATGCTGGCAGAACTGCGAGGGATTCAGGTGGCACAGAACCAGAACAGTCGATCACTCGTAGTGCACAATGTACTGTGGGCAGGGAGAGGATTACGATAGGCTGGACTCTGAGGGAGCCCTCAGCTGTTGCCTATAATCACCCGACACCTTGAACCAACAGGCAGCCAGTGGAGGATATAGGTAACATACAGGCGCTTCATATGATTTACTGACAAGCTGAAACCACATCTATTGTGCTAATATATTCTACTACTGTGGCAGTTCTGTGAAGATTTGCACTGAAATATACAACTGTCACTTAAATGTCATATGATGATGTACATCATAATCATACACAAAAGTGCATACCACTGGACGATCGAGGTTTGTGTATACACTATATGTATTATAAATAATATTCCGACTGTACACGGCATGAATGGATTGCAGTGAATATTCTAATCATATCATTAAATATTTCTAACCCAAAGCTTGATATTCCATTCGTGTGTAAGTCACCTCATTGCAAGAAATAATATATTAATTTTAACCGCGAATCTCGGTTACGTTAGACGATACAAGCTAGCCGACGGGGAAGGACAAACCGCGGAGGAACAATTTTGAATATGGACACCAGAGAACATATATTTACTTATAGATGGAACCGTGAGTCACAAGTGCGCTTTCCAGCAAATGAGCCAAACTGACACTAATTACTTTAAGTGCTAACGACGATATTGAGTTTACTTTTATAAACAGAATAAAATTACTCTGGTAGGCGTATTAAATGCACATAGTACTTTAGGGAGCGAGTTTATCATCAATAGTGTTTTTGAGTAACATAAGGAGCAGCTGCGTGCTGTTTTGAGCATCAACCCTCGGCTCTCGCCGACTTCTGACTCACGGCCACATGGTCCGTACGCAGCCGCTGCTCGCCGTGTATCGCCGCTTCCTCCCTCCCCAGCCACACACGCGTCGGCAGGCTGTTACCAAGAAAGAGGCTTGGATTTAGTAACAATGCGTAGTTTTGCCTCGGTGGCCGGGACATCTCGTCACGCCGAGGAAATATCCGCCTTAGAGGCCCCTCTGCTGGTCGCCGCGCATCCGTACGGGGGGGGTACGCGCAGGTACTGCGAGCGGCAGCTGCGGCAAATAAAGCCCGACACTCGGGGGCTGCTCCTTTCTTCTGGCTGACCGATCTCTTCCACGTCTGTTACATTTTTCACACCTACTCCACGTCATTTTTTTTCTCGATGACTTTATATGCCGCCCGATGACCATAAGCTAGTTTGCGGCGGCTTGCCGGGGAGGGGAAGCGGCGCAGTCTTACTTCCAATCGCATCCATTAACAGGCGAAATGAAGGAGCGCGGACACGCCGGCTAACATATGCTGCTGTTCCCATCTTCTTCTCTCTATAAACGCATGCATTCGCCGTCACGGAGTACTTTTTCCAAACTGGAACCGAGCGATATGGATTTGGATTTTATAATCCGGAAGATAACTTGCCCCCCGCACATATTTGATGGGGAAATTTGGTGTTTTTATCTGAACACGGATTACTAAGAGCCCGCTCCACTCAAACGTCTTTTCGGACTTGTTTTACTCATTTATTTTTCACTTGTCCATTATTTTTGGCATAAAACGCATAATTCTTTTTCAAAAAACAAGCAATCCACTTTGGTGGCTCTTGAATATTCATTCTCGGATGAGATCTAATCGTTTAGGACAACACCTGCGATAGAGCTGGAATAGGTTTTGGAAGTGGATCCAATCCAGCCGGACCTCGCCCCGACCATGCCCGTCAGTGCCATGTCTGGGGGCCGGACTCTCAGCCCGACCTCCCTGTCGCGCAGCCTGTCCAGGCTGAGGGACTTCAGGACTCGGACTCGGATCATGCTTTCGCTCGGAGTTTCTCAGATGGTGCTGGGCAGCCTGATATTGGCTGTCAGTTTCGCCGCGCTGGCTCTCACCACTTCCCCAAGGGTCAGACATTCCTGCCCGTTCTGGGCTGGCTTTTCCGTAAGTATCCTACGTTTGTTCGCGCCGTTTGAAATGTCATTTCAGGCAGTTGATGGTCACCCAAACGTCAATGCAGCAAGTAAGCGCTACACGTGTCCGCATCTGCTGCATTCTATATTACACCCAGCACCCATTTAAATGCATTTTACAACAGAAGCACAAAATGCAGACCAGCATCCCGGTGTCACGGCGTAAGACCAAGTCAAGTTATTATAAGATGACTCCCGGGGCAGCCGACTCGTTGATCAATTACCGGTTTTCAAACAAATTAGGCTTTTGAAATACTTAATTTTCCCGATTTCCCCAGACGCGTCATCTCACATTACCCGAAATATCCATTTAAAATATTGAATTACGAGGTTTGACTTTGCACCAAATAGCCTAAGTGTTGTCATTTTTCGTCTTGACATTGTTCGTCGCCTTTGCCTAAAACTACTGTGTCTATGATGTATTAATTAATTTGATTTTAATTTGCATCGATTAATTCGTACAACCTTGTAACTCTGTTTCTGAAATCGTAATAGAACTCACTTAAACTATTTTATTATATGAGCACTATACAGAATGTTTGCATAGTAGCGTACGTAATACTGTTGGGTTAATTGTACAAGAAGTGTTGTATTATTAGGCCTATGTAAAACAGTCGGGTTTTGCTTATTCTCGTTTACGCCTGGAGTCACACACTAATATAACCTTGTAGAGGAGACTTTTTCTGTAAGGTTCCTATTTGTAGGATTTGCGGCGTCGTGCACATATTCACTGCACCCTGGTCTCCTTCCGTCCCCGAAAAACATCAAGACGTTTTAAAGTAAATTGCACAGGACTCCCGCGCGCTGGGTAAATATTTCAGTTCCTAACTGTTAATTAAAGAAGCCGACGGGGAGTCAGTTTGTTTACAGAATACATCCCGAATCCTGTTGTCTACTTCCCCCTTTTTGTTAAGTAATATTTGTGCTGTAAAAATATTTCAAGGAGCTAACAGTTAAAGTGGGAATATAGATCGATTTTAGCTGGTTAGATCTAGCTGCATTATTTAATTTTACTTGGCAGTATTAATTGTCTGTAACGTTTTTATATTAGTAATATTTGACCTTTTATGTGATTTGAAGGACAGTTTATTTATCCTGAATCATATGAATGTGATTCTTGTGGGTTTGAACTGTAACACCTGTCTGAAAGTAGAGAAATGCCGGGTCGTGCTGGATTGACTGTGCTTGACTGAAACGCTACTTAAAACTGCTCTCTGTGTGTATTTACAACTTAATAAGAAAGGTATTATTTAAAGGACTTTTGCTTTTCCTTCCCTTAATGCTTTGTAATCAAAGCTGCCCCATATCGTATATAATGCAAGAGCATTCGTAATAGTCTGCCTGCAGAGATTAATAGCATTGGGTCAGGTTTGAAGAATCAGCGCTTACTATTTTTAACATCTGAGATGTTCTTTTAGGATACATTTTCTAATATTTATTCTGCCTATAGTCCTCATGTTTGCCACTCTTGGGATTCTACCCTAACTCTGCATTTATCTTAACTTCCCATTGCTGAGGAGTATCTGCTAATCATGTTAATTAATACATTATGACCAAAATATGTTTATGATTATGGGCTGGACTCGGACTGAATGTCCATGGTTGTGAATCCTGAAGCGTTGATGTTCTTAAGTGGCTAATCCAAGACAAAGGGTACTGGTCTGCTCAGAGTGTATACCAGCTGTCGTTCTGGGGTCTTCTAGAATAACAGTTAGCCACTTTTGTAGAAAGTACTTGTCAAAAACAATTAGTATGAAAAATGTAGTAAACACAATATGACTGCAGTTTCCAAAGCGTTCATGTTAACGTCAAGCACCAAAAATGTAAGTAAATCCTTGATGAAGGCTTTTGCGAGTCACTGCGTGTTCCCATAGCCATGTGACGTCTGATTGGATGCAGACGTGACCCCACCTAGACCAGGGCCTGAATATTACGGAGGGGAAGCCCAGGAGGTGAAGTGTAGTTACCAGCCTGTGAATGGTGTAGACTTTCAGCCTGCACTTTCCTTGTTGTCGTATCGTGCATTAATTATTTTGTTCAGTGCTGGGCACATGTGACCTGTATGAGGAAGTGATGGCGAGCACCAAGCCAAATTGGGGTCCTCGGGTAGTCAAACAGGGAACACATCTGTAGTTCAGGGCAAAATTCATTCTTCCATCCATCAATCTGTCCATCCATCCATCCATCCATCCTACAGAAGCACTTACTCAGGTACCGGGCAGTGGGAGGAAACATAGGTGAAGTTCACCACCGATTTCTGTATCTGTGGTGGCCAGCGGCAGCCCAGGTTCCCACTGATGACATGTTCACACAAGGCCGGGCGCAGAAATCTATTTACCGCTGCCGTGTCTCGTGTTAATGAGCCACCCATCTATCCAGATGCTTTATCCGCCTCACCTGCAAGCCGAGCTTCATTCAGCTGCAACCAAGTGAGGAACTATTTTTTTCTCCCCATGAAAATCGAAAAGTTTGGCATTCAGACCCGGCCTGGGTTCTTCAGGCACTGAGGTTAGTAGAGGCAAGACTGACTGAGAGAGATGTGCTTGGATGACAGGCTCCTTCTGAAGGCTTGGTGTGCCTTTGCTGCTCCCTCTGCCCCCCCCCCGTCTGAATGTCAGGTGAGCAGGTGCACACGCAGCCGGCTTCCCCTTTCAGGAGCCGTGTTGTTGAAAGCGACACCATTTCTCTGTTCCTTGGCATGTTTGTATCTCTGCTTGACGCAGGTGTCTGCCTGCCCGGAGCATATTGGGGTTTCTAGGTCAGCACCCATCTCTCGTCTTATGGGGGTGGGGGGGGTCCATGGCAGAGATTAATCTCCATTTACCAGGTTAGAAAACAGAAATAAACGCTAGTTTTTTTGCCCTGTTCCCTACTTCTTGCATCACAAACACGTTTTGTACCATCCTGGTGTCTGTTCTCTTTATTTTCTGGAACATCTGCTTGTTTTGCTACACGCCCTGGTAGTTACCCCCCCCCCCTCCCCCCACGTGGTCTTTATTGCCCGCAGGCTCTACTAAAGATGCATGTTTGGGTTACAGTTCTTTGGATTTATTTGCCTGATGTTTGCTCCTCAGCTCTGTGCCGTGAGTTTCTCGTGCGCCAAGTGTCTCTAACTGCCATGACAACAGACGTTAAAGCTGCTCACTGGGATGCCACAGAGGGAAACGACATCACGGGGAAGAGAAATGTTCAGAAGAATGTTAATCACCAAGCGAACTGGGGTGGGCGTCCCCAGAATGAGATGGGGATGTCGCTGGGGACGTGTGTACACACTTTCCATGAGACAGGGATGTAGCCTGGGACATGTGCGTACACTTTCCATGATACGGGGATGTTGCCTGGGACGTGTGCACACACTTTCCGTGGAGCCCAAAGCCGTCCTACGCGTTATCAGTCCAACGTGCGATCAACCGGAATGTAGAAACGACATTGGAATTCACAGCTGTCATGGTGATGTGTGGTTCCACAGAGCCTTGTTTGGTACCACTGACATTAATCATTCCAAAATGGCAAAGTTAAGGGAGGCAATGGTGTGACTGGACTGTAATTCTCATCAAAAAATTATTATTAGTAATATGGCGATGACAGGGCAGGGACTAGGATGAAAACAGCAGTGCTGCAGGCGAGAGGGGAGGGCGTGTGGTTCCAGGTAACTCAGCTCTCATAGAGCAACCATGGACCTCTTAGACACAACAGCAGCTGAATGTGCTCCTCGTCAGGCCTGTGACTAAGGTTTGGGGACGCAAACCCCAGCTAGAACACTGCTGTTGCTGGTCCCTGTGGAAGGCAATTCCGCTTGAATTGCTCCAATAAAAATTAATAAAACATGTAGTGCTATCTGAATACAAATACCACAATATGGTAAGCAGCATCGGGCAAGGGTATCCGCGACTCGATGATAATCCCTCCATTCACTAACCACTTAGCCAATCAAGACTGTTGTGTGAACCAAAACGCCAGCACAATAAATAACAATGTTTCATAATAAAGTAATATAAATAGTAATAATTATTATTGCCTTTTTCCATGAGGCAGTTTTGCCTACGCTCTGTGTGGGTTGGGACTGTTTAATTCCAGTAACTTCCTACAACCACTGAACATAATTTGCATTGTTGGTTGCAGGTTCTCCCCACTGGGCCTCTCACAGCACTCCAGTCCATAGACATTCAGGGCGGGTGAAGTAGTTTTATCTTTGGCAAGCACTGAACACGGATGTGCTGTTAACTTCCTGATTGCCTGAAATCCTTTGGTACCCCTGGATTATAATTGAGATATCACTGTATTGTGTTCTGCTGGGGTTGAGAGTCAGCTTAGTTGGAAAAATTAGTGAATGAAAATATTTTGGTGTGTTTCAGGGGAAAACTGAACTATCACTGTTAATTGATGCCCTGAAACCATTTTGGGCATGGGAGGGGGAAGTCAGCGAGAGGACGGTGGGGTTTTTTTTTTGGTGAGTTGGTGGGCTTTGAATAATTCAAATTGCCGTTTGGGGGTTGTCTTACTCCTGAATATATTTAACCTGAATCGCCACCCCAGTCGTACCGTGAATTATTGGGGAGGGTTCAGGTGATCTATGCCGACCTCGGCAATCTGGAAATAGTTTCTCTGAATTAGCTTTTCATTGCACGCTAATTGCCAAATTACTGTTGCCTCGAATTGAAGACCTTCAGGAATTGTGGCAATGCTGTTTTGATAATGTGCTGTATTTCTGAATGCAAATTCGGTATATTGCAGCTTTGGGCTTGAGTGTGCTGAATATCTTAAAAGGTCCAGATTTAAAAACGGGCAACCCCAGGATATGGCCTGTGTAGGGATGTCCTCTCTGAGAGCGGAGAAGAGACTCTCCATCATCGTGTTCGTTCTTGTCGTACCCTAGTTACAGAAGGAGGCCATTGAGAGCCATGCGTATCCTCTCGCCTCGAAATTGAAGCAGCACTGTTCAGTTCAGTTTTCTCCTTATATGTCTGAAAT